AAATGTAAAATTTTCATGAGCATTATTTAGCTTAGCATTTTCCAACCATAAAATAAAATCCACACAGACATACAGTATTTTCCCCTCAAACCTTGAAAAAGATGAGTGCACTAAAGTTATACTATGGGAGTTGGGTCCCAGTGTTTTGTGAAAAATAAAAATCCAGAATTTCATGAAATTTATGTTTTATATGTATACTGAAAGGAAAAAGAAACGCATAATAAACTTTTGAATAAAATTAAAACTTTTGTTTCCAATATGTTTTCCAGTATTGTTATCAAACAATTTAATCCAACTTTAAACAACAAGTAACCGAAATTTTGTTTGACTTTCACTAATAATTTCTGAGTTATTGAAACTGATATGTCGATACCCCCAAAATCAAAATAAAAATTCTCCTCATCTCCCTTGCGTATCGGTAACAACCTTGATTTTCTTGTGCATTGAGTTCCTCAAAGCATTTATCTTTCTCATAGGATTATCATTCAAGCCTTCCGACAATAGTCTTCATGGTTGAGAGTAGATGTATTATTTCAAAGCAAACAAATCCCCCAACCCAATGAATCCCACGAATTTTCGATTTAGGATAGACTTTACAGAATCCAGCTGATTTGGTACACGTGAATGTTTTTAAGAAAGTCTCGACAAACACTTGCTACATTTTCTCAGCGTGAACATGCTAAAAGCATTACGCATATGACGCGTACGTGCGCCCGTGAGAGTAAAATCGACGCTTGCATACCAAATTAGAGCAGAGAGTTTCTGTCAGTATTAGTGTGAAAATATGAGTCTGACTGTCTGCTGTAAAAATATCGGTGTCAGTGATAATGACTTGACAATAACCTACGTTGCATAATGAAAAGCCCTTTTGATGTGACGTTTTACGCGCCAACATATCATGGTTTTTTGGAAACCTTTTAATTACTCTCTGACAACCGAGAAACTGTTTTGGTTGAAAATTTAAAAACAAATTGCACAGCAACATGTTGTTGCCTTTTTATTCATTATGAAACTCAATTACTAGACCCATATAACTTTTGTCAGCCATACCATGATTGCAAGAAATTTAAACTGAATGCAAATATCGGTAACTTTAATGCATCGTTTGGCACTACAAAATGGGATCACAAAAATGTCAACATCAACATGCACGTGTATTTGGCTTTTTATCACTTCCCATACGAAACGCCATACATTTCATGGTTGAAATTTTTACCAGCAATTTTAGTGCACAGTAAACAGATTACACATCTGACCAATTTTCATTATTTTCGGCCACATAGTTAAATATTTTTCGCTATATTTTTCGCTATAATGCTATTATGCGTTTCTTTTTCCTTTCAGTATATTAATGTCTTAAGAGCAGGTTTTGGCAAATATATTACAAGAAAGTACCAAATAATTTTTGATACGGGGGTCTAACAGTTTTGTCACATTTCTATATATCGTTATTCAAATGAATACGAGTTTTCAACGACATTGTTTTCATTAGTCGCAACCTGGTAATTGGTCTCATTTGCACAGAATGTGTACTTTGATCAAAAGTTATACATATCTAAAGGACAATGTCAGGTTGCGGCTCATACGTTAGCCACTAAATGATATGTCAACGATTGATATTTGAATCACTTTACTCACGTGACATTCCGAGGTTCGATACGCCAACGCTTTTATTGAACAGCTGTTGAACATTTCATTGTGTTTGTCATTTAAAGTTTCTATTTGGACAGTATCTATCATTCCTCCAACTTGAAACTATGAAAGATTTTTGCGCAAATTTCAATAAGGTTCGAAGATTATATATCTTTTATTTTACTGTGTATTTTTCGTAAAGAGTGTTTTGAAAGTATTCTGGTATTGGTAGTAAGATTAGTAAATGATTATTGGCTAAATTGTCGCCTCAATATTATTGTCTTCAGGGCGATACATCTACCGCATCCATAAACACTAGAAGCATTGATTTTTTTTCTGCACCATGAAACCAGTGTAGCATATCTGACTGCGAAAAAACATATGTGTTATTGTTTACATTCATCATCCATGCGATGTAAATGCTCCGCCTTTTTCAGTTACCATAAATTCGATAGTGGTCCAGTTCAAATTTTAAGAATATAAGGCGAATACATGTTCTTTCGAATGGCATTATCTGTAATTAGAAATATGTATGACACTGTCAAATATTTCAAGGCATAAATATCAAAAGCATATGTTTGCAATAATCATAGATTAATTTAGCGATATATTGAAATGTAAAGATTAAAATGGATGGCCGAAAGGGTTCCCAATGACGTACTAAAGTGCACCCATTCTTTGACCCCAAGAAAATATTTGATTTTACAATATAATCTTTTTAAAAGTAAATAAACAATCTTTTCCTTGTGTACCTCTGTTTTCATTGCATTAAACTTGGTAAAGTTAAAAATAAACAACAGGAAACACAGCTTTCCAATGTAACACAAAAGGCCTAGAGGCCACATCGTTCACATGAGCACTATGGAAATGAAAAGCAAAACGTAGTTTAGTATTGAAAAGCTTAAATACGAAGGTGGTCCCAACCTATCCGTAGATGGGAAAGGGGGCGTAATTTGAACAAAATTGAATGTACACTAACTAATGATGCTTAAACCTACTTTTTAACTTTTCCCCACTAGACGTTTGACATTTCATTGCGGCTTCGCCCGGGAGATCAGATCCCACTTTCGATGTTTCGGAGGTCCATGTTTGCTATGTATATATTTGTATTGTTTTATAGACTCTTGAGTTTGAATAGGGTTATTCTTTATCTCTTTATCCTTCCTTTAATCTATACTACCTGACAATGATTCTACATTAGTGTCATCATTCCTGGTCCGTTGGTTTTTGAGAAGATTTTTCATTTCCATTTATATTTTGAAGTTCTTGAAAAAAAGATTTTTGAACATTTCTCTGATATATTGCTATGTTATGATCCTTTATTTCAACATCACCCAAGGTTACCCTGTGCCAAGTTTGGTTGAAATTGGCCCAGTAGTTCTGTAGATGACATTGTGAAAAGTTTACAACGTCATAGTGTAAATGATAACAAGAACGACGCTTATATATAGAGCACACCTCAATAATTGTTAAGGCAAACTCACGTACTTATGTACATAAACTAAAATTCTAGAACACGTTCTGTGCATCCTTTGACGCAACATTCAATTTCGTGTAAACAATACCACTGTCCTTTTTAGGGGTAGGTCGGGACCTACTGTTATTATGCATTTAAGCTTTTCAATACTAAACTGATTTAAATTTGTTCAAATGAAGAGCCATGCCCTCCTCCATGGGAAGATGATTATGAAAATGTAAAATTAATGGCATGATTGAAAAATCGTCTTTTCAAGAAACAATGGGACAGGAAAGATAAAAATTAAAAGGAATCATTGTCAGATAATATAGATTCAAGTTTATTCAAATCGTGACCCTTATGGTGAGGATAGGGCCACAATAAACAATTAAAGTGTTACATATAAGTAATGGTTATAAGCCGAAAACTGTCCATTATGTCAGATATTAGACGACCCGAGGCACGTTAGCACCGAGGAGAGTATAATTCTGACATAATGGTCAGTTTGAGGCTTATAACTTACTTAAAACATTTCACCACTGTCGAACACGTCCATTGTTAACTTATTGGACAGCCACAGGTAAGGTCTCGTTCTGCTTGGATGACTACCTGGCACTGTTCATCAAGTTAGGCCAAAGAAAACGAGTTTTGGTTTTTATTCTGCCTTTATTGATAGTTGGAACCATCGAGAGGTGTTTTATATCGATAAATATGAACATTAACTTTGTTTAGTTTATTTATCCGCGTTGCGACATTTTTTATATATACTACGCATGCGTAAAAGTCAGTTCTACTAAATTCTTTACAATTTATTCATTTTACGACGCAACGACCACAGAAGAAGACGTACATTTTAATTTTGAAAAAAGACCCTCAGAATCGGGTGTTTTGACGATGCCATTTATCGATTACACCAAGATGCCTCAGTTCAGGTTTTTACTTTGTAATCCGGATATATATTCTTATGTTTCGGAATTTGCAAGAAACAGTTCCCGTTAAAAGGTAATTTTTGTAAAGCAATAGGATTTGAAGGATTTTACTCAAGCAACTGTTTAAGCATTTTCTTTGAAATTGGGAGATTATTCCTGATGTATTTTTTAAAGATGCAATTCTCTTTTTGAGCAGGTTTCGAACTCGGAAGGATTTTACTCCAGCCACTCCTTAACAGCTTAAAACGACAGCTAGATACTCGCTTAAACGACGCAGGACTAAATGGATATTTCAATAAACAAAAAGCCCAAGGTTGTGTGTAAGAAAACACATGCTTCTCATTCATCTTGTGTCCGTTGGATTCTTTATATGTTCCGTGGATCAATCATTGTAAAATGAATCTGTTATATAGCAATGAACGGTGAATTTAGGAAATTTATGATCGGAGCCACGGATGCGTTTACAATAATGTATCTGAGACATTCAATTCACTGGATTATTTGTGCCATTTTCAATAGGATTTTTTGTGAAATATTAACATTTAACGCTACTAATTTCCTACATTGTTCATATTAAATTATTTAATTTGTCATTGCCTTTTAAGTGGTGTTTACTTATTTGCCTCGCCCTTTGTTCTCATTTGAATGTTACCTGTACCTGTCCAATAAGTTGAATCTTATTGGACTCCTAAAGGTAACTTATTGGACGGGGTGCAGGACAATAACAAATTTATTCAACCAGGTTTAACAAAAGACGACGTCACAAAAATGTTTTAACCTTAGTTATTGTAGATTCAGTTTTGTTCAAATCATTGCCCTTCTCCCAATTAGGGGTAGGTCGATAGGAAACACTTATGCATTCAAGTTTTTCAATACTAAACTGAATATTGCTTTTTTTTCCTTGCCACAGTGCTCAGTTGAGGCACTAAGCCTCTTGTAATTATGGATGTACCATGCTGCTCTTGCTAATGTAACACGTGTAATTTACAGGCTTTCAGTGATGTAACATCTCATTATCCTAGAGGAATGATGGACATGTTACGGGAATTGGAGCTTCCACATAGAGGGCGCCACCATAGCGGGATAGGTAGGATACGTCAACATCACACTTAAAGAAAGAAATAGAAGATTCTAATACATGTTTATTTTAACACTTAGATCAGTTAGATGTGTCACCTTGTGTTTTATAGATACACTGTAATATAAGTAAATATAAATAAATGTGCTAAAATACTTAACAATAAAACTTTGATTCTGAACATACAGTATACAGGAAAAAGAGAAACTGATTATCAGTGAAAATAAGTCTTATGTCTTTCCATGGACAGTAATGATAAAAAAAATGAATTTTAAACATAATTCTATTCATTTGTTTCTTTCAGATGATTGTAGGAACATAGCAGCCATTGCTGTGGAGCTGATCAAAAGAGGTCATGTGTTTAAGCAGACATCTTTTCCTTGACCTCAGACAGAGCGTCATCTGCTGGATCAGAGGTCAAAGTCTAAAGAAATAACTGCACATGCTCAGAATCTAGACTGTCTAGATAAACATCAGTGGCAGGAGATTTGAAGTTCTTACTCTGTGATAAACTATAGCTGGGATCTTAATGTTCTGTCAGGAGAGCTTCTACAAACTGAGGCCACTGGCCGCACTCTCTGAGTGAAAACCATTCACTAAGTTTAGAATTTCTGTGATAACTTTTAAGTTTCATGAGTTTTTGTTTTGTAAACTGAAAATGTTCAATATAGTCTGAATAATTTTTCAAGATGTGTTGTACTCTGTTTTCCATTGGAAGGTTAATACGATAATTCTGTGCTTTCCTCATCTCTGAGTGTAAAGTCCGCAGTACATGTACATTGCCTATTCGAACACTCTCTGTCTCTAACCACACCACTTTCTCCGGAGTAAAGGATTGGAGCTTTTCTACTATCTAGGATTCAAACCATTTCTGTGAGGGTTGGGATCCATTAATTTCCGCCCCCAGAACGGATCCCCTGTGATTAGCAATGCCCTCTAGATCCAATACCTGTTCACCAAGAGCAGACAACAAAGAATAAGATAAATGTTTTTTTTCCAAGAGCTATTTGATCCTAAAAATAATAATAATAAATATGCTAACATGCTAATTATTGAATTGATTTATTGCATGTTGTTTAACGTACCTTTCGAGAAGTCACCAATTGCCAGTGGAGAGCTGCACCCGGCATTTATGGCCATTGAGCAGGGAGGGATCTTTTTCATTCCAGCACCTACTGCGACAAGAGACCTCTTCTATACGATTGAATCCGAAGGACTGGTCTCCATGACCCACAGTGGGAAAAAAAATAAAAATAAAGAAGTTGTAATAATTGTTGATGATTTTCAAACAATTAATGCAATATTCAGTTAAGTCTACTACAAAATCTCTACATAATTGGGAAATACATGTATTATTTGCTCACCTCAATGACATTGATGGAGAACACATAATACCCTCGGCGTCGATGTCGGCATCCCAGGTAAAGGTTTTTGGTGCAGTTTTCTGTTTAAGTGTTTCTTATATGCCCTACATTGATCAGACATGCATGAATGATGCTTCTAGTGTGTTTCGTTGTACCAGTCAAGGTTTCAGATGCTGCAATTTTAGCTATGATCAGATTACTATTTTTGAAACAGGTTGAAATTTCTGGTCAATATTTTTGGAGCAAGGCTCATTTGCAAGGAATTTAAAGCACTGATTTGTTCTCGCTTGTAAGGATGATACATATAAGGATGCACATTACCAGGCTTGCTTTGGATGCTGGATCTGAATTAATTTCTAGATGAGTGGCAAGGTAGAAAGTTTTTGGAGCAGATCCATTACTTATTAGGAAACTATAAGGCCTATTTGAACCAAACTTGCATGGATGATGAATCAATTTAAGGGATGAACACCTCAGATGCTGGATTTGAATTACATTTTCTAGACGAGTGAATAATTTAATTTATTAGAGAAGTCAAATTCCAAGTAACTGGAAGCTCTATAAGATCAAAATTGTGTAAATGTTGCAGCTTGGACAGACACTTCTTAATAATTAGTTTATTGCGAGTCCTTGTCTTCCTTATAGACAGCATTCGTTGAGGTGAGTTCTGTAACCTCTGATTTCCTAATATATGTGCCCATGTTTATGAAACTTATGTGTTTTTTTAACCCCTGGACCATGGTGAGGGAATGAAAAAGACACCACAAGTTGGATAACAATCATATCTAAGCACAAATTATGGTTTTTTGAGATTTTTTGAAACGTTTTATGCATGCCTGTCAATGTTTTTAAACTAAATGATTTAAGCCGAAGTCTCAAGTGATCTCTTCTAATCACAAATTGTCCGTCTTGTTGTCGGTATCAGTGCCCTTAATATTTTTGTTTTCACAATTTCATCTTCTTCTCGAGAACCACAGGACCAATTTCAACCAAACTTGACACCAGTATCCTTGAGTATAAGGGCTTCAAGTTTATTGAAATGAAGTCCCGTAGTGTCTTTCTTCTAGGAGGAAATAATTTAGAATTAGAAAAAAAATTATGGCATCATTTAAAAATCCTCTGAAGAACAACTGGGCCAGGGTGGATGAAATTAATGTGGAAAAATCCTCAGGTAGTGTAGATTCAAATTTGTTCAAATTTTGACACACAAAGGATAGGATGGGGCCATAACTGGTGATCAAAGTTTACAATAGAAATACATTGGAAAATATCTTTAAAAATCTTCTCAAGATTAGCAACACCATGACTGGACATATTTAAATTAAAATGCATTCTATTCTCAATTAGTGTAGATTAAATTAATTCAAATCATGACCTCAGGGGAGGGATGGGGCTCTAATATGCAATCAAATATAACATAGAAATATATTGTAAATATGATAATTTTTTTTTCTTAAGAACATCGTCGCCTGCGTGGCGCAGTGGTAAGGGCGTCTGCTCGAGAGTCGCGAAGTTATAAAGGAGTCGATCCTTACGTCGCAGGTTCGAACCCAACTGTGGGACGTACAAATCGGACCTTAGGATGAGATCGTATAAACCGAGGTCCTGTGTTGCAGTAGGTGCTAGCACGAAAAAGACCTCTCCCCGCTCAATTGTCCTGATTGCCGAATATCAGACAAAACTTTATAGCTCTCCATTGGCAAGTGGTAATGTCTCCATATGAGTGAAAACTTTTCGAGAGGGACGTTAAATAACATACAATCAATCAATCGATCTTGAGAACATCAACATCGTGGTAAGTTTTATTTCAGAGTATTGTTACGTAGTCTTAGTAGATTTAAGTTTGCTAAAATTGTTACTTCTGGCGTTAGCGTGAGCCAAAGTCCAAAATATCCTACTATTTCTAGGCTTTTTCTCAAATTATTTATATTTTACGTTCCAGGAAAACATCAATACCGGTGCTATAAGAGAAACTGGGAATTTGGCCGTCTCTTACATTGAAGCATATTCTCAATACCTGTGAACCGAATTAAATTAATTAACTTCTTATCAATAGCACAATGTATCTAGTACTCACCAATATCGATGAAAAGAAAATATAAATTCACTCTTCCATATAGATTTTACCAGATTTTAAATTGAACGAAATGAAAACAAAATTCAACAGCATCATATAGTATACCTGGTTTTACTGATATAAAGCATTGCTTCACAAGCTTTATTTACAAATAATAAACTTAATACATATATACAAAAACATGATAAGGATTTCTTTATATGTACATACAATATTGTCGTAGAAACCAAAAATTTCAACTTTTCTGTTAAAAGTAAGGGTAATAAACAATACCACATTTTAATATCATGCTAAAAAAACCTTAAGAAATTCTAAGGTAGAAAGTGAGAGGGATGGGGGTCTTTTTTAACTCTGAAGTTGTGAACTCTAACAATTAGGGTATATTATCATGATTATTCATGATTTCTGTGCTCGAGGTCCTTAATTACTTGTATCCTCATCAATGAAGCAGTTTGTATGTTTTGTGATGTATGTCTGAGAGATTGTTGGTAGGAGTACAGAGCAGCTTGATGGTTCCCTGTCACCTGTTGACAGATCCCTAGAATCTGCCAGGATATGTCTCTTTTATTCATTTGAATGTACATCCCCTGATCATGGTGGACCAGGTCCTGTAGGCCATTAAGAGCTGTTCGTGCTCTCACTGGGTCTACATGTCTGTAACACAAGACCTCTAGCATGTGTAACAGAACATACAGTGGTATAGATAATATTAGGTATCCAGATTGTGACCCAGACTGTTGTTCTGGCATTAATTCATTCATGTAATAGACTGTATCGTAAATAGAAATGTCCCATGCTACAGCATGTCTTATCTTTGAAGACCAGGACTGTCCCCCTAAGGACTCATGAAACATGTACCTCACTGCATTTATGGGTATATTTGTGACATTGATTACATATGGCTGTGCTAACTTGACCTTTGTCATTTCTATGACTGATAGGGCTTCTTTATATCTAAGTGTCTTGTAGAAAAACATTGCAATAAACAGCATATCAGAAATACACCCAAACTTGGCGGCTAATTTCAGCATATGACTGTATGTTTTATTAGTCATATACGACTGTTTGTTCACAGCTGAGGTAGTATATAACTTGCATTGTGCAAAAACAGTATACTGGAGTACATGTGATGTAAACCTCCGTAACATGAGAACCTGGTTCTGGGTCAGAGGTAAAATTAGCAACTTTTCTACAGCACTTAAGAACATAATGCATGATTGCAGATTATCTACTGGTAGATCAGTGAGATACAACTCACGAAATAGATTTAAATCAAACAAAACCCTGTTTATCATCATATTTTTGTCCTTATTAAAGGGTTGTCTGGGATTTTGAAGGACACTGTTAAGACAAGACCTGATCGATTGACAATGAAGCAGTGATACTACACCATTCTCATACAATTTATAAAGCCTAAGAAATAATGTTTTTTGTGCTTCACCATGGATATTACTCAGAAACATGTTGTTTTCTGGAATAAAAAAGTTTGGGCATACCCCCTCATACACCCATTTAAGGATAAGTTTAAAACAGACCCAGAAACACTGAAGGAGATTTTGAGGACACCATTGAGGTATTATGTTTTGTTGAATCACCCAGAAAACTGCTGTCTTCATGTGATAGGAACACAGTAATTTTTCCTCGATAGTTAATTCCTTCTTGAAATCTTTTAAAAACAATTTAAGCAGCCCATAGGTCAAGAATTGGCAATGGTTCATTGAATATATAAGTTTTTGTTCTGCTAAAGAGAAGGAAATTCTCCATTCTTTGTCTGCATGTTTTCCGAGCTTGTGTCCTATTGCAACAAAGTGGCATCCATTTCTGAGTATCTCATCAACAATATAAGAATGGGGCCATGAGTGATATCTGTCTATCCATTTTGAGGCAGGAGGAGGCCAAAAATCACAGACAAAACATAGGGCAGTGTCATACTCTGCTCCCGCTATTACACCATTACCACACGGACCATGCTCCTTAAAATTAGGTATAACTTCTGAACATGTGATTTGTCTGTATTTGGAACTGGATATGTAGAGTCTGTCGTTTATTCTCATACATGCATTCTTTACACCTTCACTGTGTGTTGGTGTCAGTAGTTCAAGTAAACCAAATCCTGGTGGGCTTTCAGAAAAATCACAGAGAATCAGTGTTTTTCTACTTAAGTCGTATTTCTGAGCCTTGTTTAAGTCCCATATAACGATGTGGTCATTTGGCCAAAACTTTGTGTCAACATCTGATTCCTCTAGCCGGAGTCCTTCTTTCATACTCCCACTCATCATCATCCTGTCTGCTTCTCTTGTTCTCATTACTTGATTTATCA